CTTGGACGCCCCCCCCCCGCTCTGGCTCAGCATCCTTTTCGTTCCTGCTCTTTTCTCACTCGTTTCCAGGCATCCTCCCGTTGGTTTGGGCCCTGCGTAGGCTTGCTTTTAGGCAACTTGGGGACTCTGAGGGGTCTGCAGAAGTCCATCTGCTCTGGGTTTGGGGGTGTGGGGCCTCCAGGGTGTTCAGCCGCTGCGCCTGCCTTTCAAGCGGGGCCCGGACGTGTACTTCAAACGTCAGCAGAACCAAGCGAGTGATGTTCCAAACAGGGCCGGCTCCCCCAGGGTCTGCTCTACCAAGCCAGGCCTCTGATCTTCCCAAGGCCCCCCGGTTGCCCCCGCCGCGCTGCTCCGCCCGCCTGGTGAGGCTGCCCCTGGCGTGTGGCGGCCTGGTTTCCCTCCTTGGGGCTGGGCTGGGGGTGGCTGGCAGGTGCGTTGGGGTTCAGTGCCTCTCCTGAGGCGGCCCCCTTGTCCCAGGGTGCCCGGTGGTGGAGGTCCACTGGCTGGGCTGTGTTTTCCCTTGTCCCCTTTGCCTGGGGTAAACTGGGTCATCGGAGGCAGAGTGAAATCCTGATTCGCTGGGTTGCTGGGCCCGCCCGTCCATGCAAAGTTGACACAGCGCGGGAGGAGCCCCTGCTAAGCTGCTCACTTGCGGGGGTGGGGATCCAGGCTGACAGATTTGCTGGTGGTCTTGTCTTGTCTGTCACCCTGATGGCGGCTTCCTGACTTTGCCCAAGGCAACAGAGGGGAACCAGCCCTCAAACGTGGACAGCTGCAGAATGGCAGTGTTGGCAGGCCGCCTCGCACTAGTGAGGTGTGCAAAACAAAAGCTGCCTCTCTGTCACAACTGAGCAAATGTCCTCAAACTGAAGTTGATGGGAAGGCGGAGAGAAATGGGCGAGGGGGGGGAGGGGATCCAGCTGCAAGAGTAGTGGCCACACCTCTGACTGGGATGCACCGAGCACTGAGCATGCTTCGAGCACCCCAGAACTTTACTTCAAGCTGAAAGTGACACCCCAAAGCAACCAGGGAACGGAAGTGGGGTGGGTGGGGTGGGAGACGGGGGGAGCTTGTGCTGGGGCGTGTCCCCCCCGTTCAGCTAGGGTCTACTCCCTCCCTGTTTCCAGTCTCTCTCTCTCTCTCTCACACACACACACACACACACACACACACACACACACACACACACACACACACACACACCGCTCTTTGAGAGCCTTTGAAGTAGAGATGTACTAAAAGGAA